CTAGAAGTGTTAACTGTGAAAAATTAATACATCTGATTCTGTTACATTTTATCGGGATCTTTTAATACAGTTCCCCGCAGTTCCAATCCTGCTGTTCGATTATTTATCAGGAAATTCAGACAGTGGGGTGTGCGGAACAGACATTTAGGATTTATTAAACGGCACCTGTGTTCTTTTCCGAAACACCAAGTCGATAATGTTGCGCGTTGCGGATTTATTCCCAATGCGATTTATTGATAAAAAAATGGACTCGGAAACTCCCGATTGATTCGTCGTAAAGTGGGCGATGGCGATAATATAGTAATTTTCCTAACAAGTGCGGAAAGTGATTCTTTCCCGCACGCGACTGCCGTTGACACGAACGACGCGAAGCGGAGTTCGGGCAAGCAGTCGAGTGCGGGAAAGACACTTTCCGCATGAGTTAGGAACAATATTTTTTCTACAAGCGTAGGAAATTGATTGATTTTTTCAATTTATTATTCATGCAAATAGGAACAACTATCAAGAGAAATATATTCCCTATCTACAAATTATTAGTAATAGCTATTGTGAACTTACAGTTTGACGCATTATGTAGGTTCATTGCCGAAGCCAGCAGGCCCATAAGGTATTTGGTCTCTGGTTTCAGACACTTCTAGGAAATGAGCCAAAAATACTTATTCTACATTCGTTCTCCATTCAGTATTTTCATTTCTTTATTGTTGCACCTTTCAATCAAACGCGTGTATAGCTTCTCATACCTTTCTTAAGACTTCGTTGGCAATAACGCATCTGTATTGAATCCCTATAGCTAGAAGTTTTTGATCACATTGTGGCAATTCCACTGAATCAAAAATGACAGTAACGTTGTGTCTGTCACTTTGACATTTACAAACTTATTAGAGGCTTGATTGGCATGACAACAATAATCGTTTAACATCAGATCAATCCAAATCTATAGGAGGATTTTTATAATGATTTTTATTTTTCAATATTTCTTAATTTTCACAATGAATAGTGCAATTTGATGGATGATTCTGAACATACATACTTAATACTGCGACAAACACACCTAAACTTTTATATTCCATCACCAACCACTTATATTTTGAAATCTTTTCATATCTTTGGAAAAAATTTCCCGCACTAGTGTGGGAAAAATTTTCCCGCATTATTGCGGGAAAATTACACTTTCCAGACTGAATTGCGTGCGGGTATAGGGTGAATCATGCACGCTTGTTGAAAAAAAGATTTTCGTTGATTGTAACATGGTGTTTGCTGGAGCCAAGCATCGAAGAATAGTACATTATTCACAAAGAAATATTCTCATATATAATTATGAACATAAAAAATGGATATACAGGCTAATTCACGGAGAATGGTACATTAGAAGTTTCTGAAGAACGCAACGTGGGATTATTTTGAAAATCTGGTTCCTTGAATAATCCAGTTGTGTTCTATCGACCTAAAATATTCTCAGCGTTGCGACATTGCAACTTATATTGAAAAGTAGCACCAACTTTGATTTTTAAATGAGACACCCTGTATATTATTCAATTTTCAGATTCTCCCTGAAGAGCGAGATTTTATAAGTTTAAGAATTTTTTTGTGTCGAAACTACTCATAATTGGTCAAAACGGTTTCCATGTCACTATCTTTACTTTTCACGTACTATCAATTGAAATTCAATAGAAATACATACAGGGTGGTCAAAAATCTTAATTCTGAACCTGAAAACTTTAAAAAATGTCCGGAAATTGTTCGTTCATTGAACTCCACCTGAATATATTTCTTTCCTTTTCAGTATGTTCAAAAATGAAAAAAAAATCAAGTGAACAATGTTATATTTTCCACTTTTACTTTTTCATATTCTAGCACTTAGCTCATGATGAAATGAATATTGGTCTAGGACTTAGCCTACTATAAGAATAATAAAGATATTTCAAACTTTTTCTCTTGAATCAGAGCACCTATATGGATACGTGAATCCGAATTATTGTTTATACTATAATCAAGAATAATTCCTAATAATATATGTCATGTTTTGAGTTCAGTTCAATCGAATAACACGAGATAATTTTCTTGGCACCTGGCCCCTTATTCATTTCACGGCTACAACTATCATTGAACATTGCGAAAGTCATTGATACTTCCGGTGCTTGTGAGCCTGCCGAAAGCCAACGCTTTGGTTGGGCTATTATAACATCTGATCAATGATTTACAGAAACATATCACAAAAAATTGAGTAGGTACCTGTGCCACTAAATTCTGCGCAAAATTCTCTGCCAGGGTATTCACTCCGGAAATCTGAGTAAATGAAAATGGCGGATTGAAGGTCATGCAATAATAAAAAACATTGCTACACATTTTTCTGGAAATTTCTTTCATAACGAAGATATCTAAGGAGAATTATAAAATAGTTTTTGTTTTAACTAGAGTAGAATATTAATTCGATATTCTTTCAAAACACTTATATCTTCAGACATTTTGGAAACAATTATCGTTTGTTCTTTTGCCAGATTATCTGATCCTTACTACAGGTATATTGAAATAATATTGATATTTTTATTCATAGCCTTTCAATAGAGACGAGTAGAGGAACTCCCAAAAATCTAGAGAAATGAAAGACGAATGAAAATTGACACATTGTATATTTACGACTCTACTGACAGATCATGAAAATAGAGTCAAAGTTCCTGATTTTTCCGAACGCCAGCAGCATTTTTATATCATAGTCGTTTATCAGGCATAACGAAAATGCACAATGATAACCGAATGTCATCAGATCAGAGAGATATATAGATGTTCATTTGTTCAAAGAGGATTCCGATCTATATTCCGATAGTTCACGCAGTGACATGTATATGTGAAATCTCAAACGCGGGAAATTACGTCATATACAGAAGGGGAATAAATGCCTTTTTTGCTGGCAGCTATGACAGAGTTACAGATGGGTACCCTGGTGTGGGCTGTGTACTTATCGTATTACAAATTGAGCCAGATTTTCTTGAGATTTGTGGGAATCGATTTTGACGAGGTTATATATCATTTTATTCATGATCATACCTGATTTCGTCGTTATGTGGGTGATACTGGGTGGAATGCACATTCCATCTCTATCATCGGAAACTTCATAAAGTTAGCTGTAAAAGAAATGGATATTTCAGATACAGTTGCATGGTGAGAACATGAGTACATATACCAGGTGTAACAAGATCATGGTACACCCCCTGTTTCTCCTTTAGTTTTGGAGATAAGTGATTGATATTTGGAATGACTAATTAACTTGATAAACGTCATGTTTTCACATAGATGAGTTTCATTTTCCACTTCCAGTTTCACCGGAAGTGATGATAAATTTTGATTTTCAAATGCAACACCCTGTATATCATTGCATATTCGAATTCTGCATTATTTTCCGAATCCAATGATACCTTATATGAAAAACATTTCAAACTTCAATCTTGATTTCAATTTAATTTTCGATTTTCCATTTGAGTGTGCCATGACTATTTCTGATCTAGTCTGATGTACCCATATCGACATGTCATTGTGTGATGCTAAAAAAATTGAATCTTGTCAAAAATGTCAAATTTATTGATTTATCACCAAATTAAGTTGGAGAAAATGGTTTACACCCGGCATAAAACGAATCGTCACGTAGGAACTTGATGATCATAGAGTCAGTTCCAGTAGTTTCAAATCTAGATGGAATGGATAATGGGGTTGCAGTCTTCCTCCAGAAACTGAGTAACTGAAGACCCACCCGTACATTTGTGTTTGCTGATCATAGAAAACTTGATTTTTTTACGAGGCTATCTGTAGTATTTATCTATGTTCACATCATTTGAGGCACTCGTACGGAATAGAAGAGACCCCAGTGCTGCCCTATGTTCCGGGGGATATTGAGTCCGTTGTGTAGAATGAGAGTTTCCGGATTCATTGGATTTTCCCATTCCCCACCGTCAGGCAAATACAAGCTAACAAGCCTGATGTAGTCTTCCTCGACCACCAAACCAAAGCGATGTTCGTGATCAAGTTTTCGGCGCCAGCCGAACCGAACATCGTTTTGAAGGAGGAGGAGAAACGGACTAAATATCAAGATCTTCTCTTCGAACTCCGCAGGCTCTATCCAGACCATTCTGTGGAAATGGTCATCCTGATAATCGGCTCCCTAGGAGGCACACGACACACGCTGCTCTCGGAAATCCAGAAAATCCCAGCGTGCAGCAATAAGGCACACATCCTGGCTGGTGGAATGCAGAAGGCCGTCATACTTGAATCATTTCGTTTACTCAGGGCACACGGTTCTTGGTCCCAGTGATAATTCACCTCACAGGCTGTGGGGAGTAGTCACTGGATTTTATCCAGCACTGGGAGCAAGCTTATTATGAGGAATCTACAGTTTTCCGTTGTGACACTTATTTGTGAACACCCTGTATAAATAGCTATTTTCCCACGGAAAAAGTGAGAAGTTTTTCCTGGATATATAGTATATACACTGTTAATCGCTTCAGTTGTGATAGTTCCAAAAAATAAGCCAATAACACCGTCTCCAAGAAAGAACTGCAAGTCCTTTTATCTTCCATTCCACCTCGCGGTTACTTAAATTACCAAACAACCACTCAGAATTAGACTGGCAGATGATTACTTCAAAAGAATGATGAAGATGCCTGCAAAGAGATGCCTGCAACGCTTGTGTAATTCCTGTTAAAAACTTCAATTTTTAGTTGATAATGTTCTGATTCAAATATTCCAATATTAATTCGTCCTTCTTTCTCTCACAGAAAAAAGTGTGTTATACACGGGAAAAATATTAGATTATAGCTCACGGTTTTTTGTCTCTTTATAATGAATAACTATTTACTGTTTTAGAGATTATGAGTATAAATTATCCTTTCCATTCCAAATTAGCAGATAAGCCGAAGAGAGTTGACGATATTTCTTCCAAATTGATAACCCTAGCAAATCTTCATTGCAAATCATAAATATTTGTCTATGTAGCGTAGTGAGTAGTAGTACGTGAATGAAGTGAACATGCCATTAATATCGATCAGTTTTTTCATTTGTGTATCACTGAGCTTCAGTGGAGCAACTACAGGATTGACTTTCAATAACATCAAAGTTATTGTTTCCAATGGACAGTTGGAAGTGGCCAGTAAAAGAATTTCATGCAATAATCTGTTGGAGGGCTTACAAATTTCGGAAACAGATTACGACTCCATACAAATTGGTGAATATATAGGTACCAAGCAAACGGATTTAGACAAGATCAATGGAAATTCAGGAACCTTATCAGTATTACACAAGCAATCTTTGACTGGTTTGAATCTTTCTTCTTTGAGAATATCGTACACAGATTTGGAACAGATTGAGCCGGAAGCAATCAAAGATGTGATCAAGTTAAAGAAACTTGCTATCGAGCAGAACTTGTTGAAGGAAGTTAAGAAAGGTGTCTTCAATGGCTTACCGATTCTGACACTATTGCTAAGCTCCAACGAAATTCAGGTTGTTGAGCCTGGGTCCTTCGAAGGAATGTCTGAATTGATTATAATCAGATTAGCTTATAATAAACTGACCGAACTTACCAAGAATTTTTTGAGCAACCTCCCGAAATTGCAGTTGGTAGATTTATCATGGAATAATATAGACAAAATCGAGAACGGTGCTTTCGAAAATCTGCCAGATCTGAAAGTTTTATTTCTGGAAAGGAACTGGATAAAAGAAGTTGGTGATCGATTCCTGGGTAAGTAAAAATCAATCCAATCTGCATGATCATGCGTGGACCAATTGAGGCTCAGGAAAATTATGAAAGGTCAACTGACTCATTTATGAAAACCGTTGGGAAATCGAAAAATTTGTTTAGTCAACTAAACTGACCCACATTTGAAGTGACACATTTTTTTCATTTTCATAATAACTTTGGACTGGATTGAACAATTCTCAATTTCTTTCAAGATTTTGATAGGTTATTTCATTGAGTACAACTTCAGTACTTTTTTGTTTTTACACCTATCTGACACGATAACCTAAAGGGTGATATCTGAATATATGATAGTTTTCGAAGAGTTTGGGATCACCCCGTTTCACAGAGATTTTTTTATATGTTATTGAGGGCGATGAAATGAAGGATAAAGAATTTCCTCGAAATGGTTTTCAATTCGAGAGAATACATACAGGATGTTTTGATAGAGAATAGGTTGTGGCAGTGTAAACATTATAGATATTTATGAAAGAATAGGATCATGATTATCATATATTTTGATATTCTCAGAATATTCAAAAATAATATTCTGAAAATATGTCAAATAGAATGTTCATAGAATATTGTTTGTAGAATGAGAATATTCTATGATCATTCTGAGAACAATCTATCAGAATATTCTAAAATAAGTAGATTTGAAAGTCGTCAGAATATTCATAGCTGTCTGGGATATTATATGGAAATCTCTGAAGCAAATCTATTCATAATGGTTCGAAATAACATTATCAAACCCAGTGTCGTTGAATTTATTATGATTATGCCTAACCACTTATGGAATATTCAGGGCGTCCCATTTGAAAATTAGAAGTTGGGGTCATTTCTGGTTAAACCGAAAGTGATGAAGAGAACTCGGAACTTCAGAACTCTGGACACCATATATGGATTGTCTAAAAAATTCGATGATACCCGCTATGTTTGAAAATGTACAACACATTGTATAGTGATAACTTTGAGCTGGTTGAGCTGATCTGAAATTCTGTTGAAGTTGAGTTTATGTTGGTTGAACATATACATCAGAGTGCAATATATTGTAAAAAATTCCATATATAAAAACGTCCTGTATGAATCCTCCTGAATCAAAAACCATTTCGAGAAAACTCATTATGCTTCATCTCATCGCTCTCGATGGAACATGAAAGGATATTTCTGTCTAACAGGTCGATCTTAAACTTTTCGAAAGTTATCACAATTTGAGATATCGCCCTTAGGTCTTCATGTTGGAGAGGTGGAATGACAAAAAAGTACTAACGTTGTACTCAATGAAATGAGGGATCAGAATCTTGAAAGAAATAGAAAATTGATTGATCCAATCCAAAGTTATGATATGTGAAAAGATATATGTATTGAAAAAATACTGTTGGATCAGCGGACACTAATGGAAAACCCTATATTCATATGAACTTTATAACTCTTTATAATTTAACTTTGTCTACGAGCCCTTCAATTCATGTACCTGCAATGAAATCATCATGTATTTTCGGCAAATATGTTGAATCTAATAGACTGCAAATTAATTTATTTTCCATTAGAAACAGTGCGATACATCATAAATGCCTCCCCCCTCTAGGTCACTTATTTCTGAACTGATTTCAAAATTTTTAATATTATCTGGAATATAAATACAGAAAGCTCATAGTCATATCCACACAATGTTCATGAAATGAAAAACAATGGTAGATTTCGAGGGAAAAACAACTACTTTCTTGGCTACTGCCACGCAGAACATTGAATTTCATCCTCCCGAAATCTATACATCGACTAGTATGAACGAATACTGATACAAGTGAATCTTTTCTGAATGCCTATTGATTTCGATTTAGCCAGGCCACGCTAGACACAGACAACAGACCGGTTTCGATCTATGATGATTTTTCAAAAATATATTTTCCGCTTCATCAGAAAATACAGGGTGCTCGGAACAAACGATCTACAGCAGGGTACTAGTTGATTTTATTATATTGCATTCACTTGGGGTCTACCGCGAATGATCACAGAGATATAGGGTGTTCAAAATCGATTTAATTCAACTTCAGTTTTCTTTTTGTGTCTAACTATTTTTTATTATTGGTCGAAACCACTCACATGTCCTTATCTCACTTTCTGATTTACCATCTACTCACATTTAATTGGACCAATACAGGGTGGTTCGAGATTCAGAATTCTGATCACCTTGGATCTGTTCCAATTATTGAATGTCAGTTGATAGTGAATCAAAAGTTTATATTCCGATATTCAAGACGTTTTGACCAATAATAAACAGATTGAAAAAATCCCAAAGTTGTAAAATCTTGATTTTGAACACCCTACATATCTGTAACCATTCCCGCTAGACCGGGAATAGTTACAGATAGATAGTGTGATAGATCGAGAACCAAAAAATGCGATAAAATACAGGGTGTTCAATTAAAAAAATAAATTGGTACCCTGTATGCAGTGTGTCCACCTTAAAGACTTACCACCCCTGTAAAATTGTTATTATCTGACCGATTTCAAAAATCTATTTTTTGTTGGATAGGTATTTGAAATGTCCATCCAACAAGAGAGTGATTTTACTCATGAACTGTAATCGTGGCCAACTGCGACCAACTTTAATGACCCATATTTGAGAAAGTAGTATTAGGGATTTTTTTTCACAAAAAACAATGATGGATTCTGAATCACGCGCACTTGAAAAACACCTTTACTGATTTTTATCATCATAAAACACAGGGTGTCCGAAAAAACGAATTAAGTTTTTTTTTTTAATAGTTGATCAGAAAATGTAGTATTGTGGTATTTTTGAGAAGAATTGATGACACGTTATTATTGAGGATCACTTTGAATATATCTGTTCCGATTTTCATCATTCAAAAATACGATGTGTATGAGAAAAGAATTAAAAAGAAAAAGTAGGCAATATTTTTTCATCAACTCAAAAAATAATATATTAATCTGATTTTTCGAACACCTTGTGTTTGATGATGAAAATCGGTAGAGGTATGTTCCAAGTGAACCTGATTCATCTTTTTAATTTGAGTGAAGAATTATCAGGATGAGAAATATTGCTTACCTACCTTTTTTAATTTTTTTGAAGAAAATGATGATTCGTTTTTTCGGACACCCTGTGTTTTATGATGATGAAAATCGGTACAGGTGTATTTCATCGAGTTTCGTGGAAAAAAATCCCTAATAGTAATTTCTGGAATATGGGTTATTGAAATTTGTCGCAGTTGGCCACGATAACAGTCCAAGAATTAGATCACTCTCTCGTTGGGCATTTCAAATACTTATCCAACAAAAAAAGGGTTTTTTAAAATTGGTCGGATAAAAACGATTTTACAGGGGTGGTAAGTCCTTAAGGTGGACACATTGTAGATCATTTCTTCCAAGCACCTTGTATTTTCTGATGTAGCGGAAAAAAATATCAAAATTCATTTCAAATGATTCTTCAAATTTTGGGATCGGTTCAAAAATAACTTTGCTAGAGGGGGGACATTTATGGTGAATCGCCCTAGTTAGATGGCTTATACCGTTTTCATCGAGCAAATAAATTTTCAGGTCATCTTCCAAATTTGAGAGAACTGAGTTTGAGCTTCAACAAGATGCAAGAATTCCACTCTAATTTTGTGACTGGTACCAATAATTTGAGGCATCTCTATATTGATAATAATGAAATTACTGAGGTATCTCCAGGTTTTCTGGGTAATAATCATAATTTGGAATTTTTGGATATGTCATTCAATAATATCAAGGAAATAAATAATGGAACATTTTCAAACTTCAATATTATCGGTGAGTATATACCAATAATTACAAATACGAATTTCTATGATGACTTATTTTGAATTGACTCGGCCGTTAATTGATGGAAATACATGGCAAATGTGAAATCTTCACAAACCATAATATTTCCACAAAATTCTCAAACACACGATATGTTTCGCTAACATAGTGCTTCATCAGGTGATATACTGGTACAATGAACTCCTTTCTTCATGTGTTTCCTAATATATTGAACTTCTGCATTTGATCTTAGCAAGGTCAGATGCAACCGGGAGTATCAATGACTATTGAAAAGTTGCTGGACATTCAATTAAAGTTAAATTTTGTGGTTTGATGAGAGCGTATTTTATACTAAATCTCTATGGAAGAAGTCCATGGTAATTCAAAGTGGAGTTGTGTAGTTCATAGATGAAAACCGAAAGTTATCCCCACAACTTTTTTTTTATCATTTCAGCTACTATAGGCGCATCAACTACAGCAGTTATTAGCACCGTGACATTATATTTAATACACATGAAATATTATCATATGTAATACCACAAGTGATAATATTTTGCCGGAAATATTCGGTGATTGTTACGACAGCCTGTTGCATGACTATTTCATGATTGAATGAGACAATATATATAAGAAATAGGAAACATAATTTAGGTATATTCCAACTCAAACTGCGAAGAAGTAGAGTCCCTGTATGTATAATTCCCTGTATATATTTGTCAGTTTTACAAAAGTGTCAAATACATACAGGGACTCTACGAAGAAGAACAAAATGATAGTAATGAAATACAGAATTAAATTTTTTAGAAATTAACTACCTACTTATAGTTTTGCACAAAGTGGAATGTACAATTTCGATAATCAGTATTTTTTTTATTATCTGGTTGCTCTCAAAAGAGTGCATAAAATTGCTATCCAATTCAAACGAAATAAATTGAATTTATGTGACATGAAATAATTTAAAAAAAAGATATCGTCCGCCGAGGGGCTCGAACCATCGATTTTCGTATCTTCGCGCAACAACCCTATCAGTTGCGCTACGTCATAATAACTTGAGTGATTGAATAAGATTACTTAAAAAGGAATTTGAATTCTAGTATTGTTGTGTCAGACCGTCAACAAATATGCAAATTTTTTAAAATACACATGAAACGTCCAGCCAGAATAAAATTGTCTCGCCTTTCGTACAAAATTTCTCACTAACGCGAATTATGAGTAAATAAAATAAAGTAGGTTAGGTTATTGTCTCAGATTTGAATCCAAAGCAATCTTGACCAGACACGATGTCAAAATTTTATCGCTGATAAACGAGGTTTGTTGGTCACGTGTGGGTCAATTCGGCTTCTGTATTGGTAGAGCAAGTCCGATAAAATTTAATAAACAAAAAATATCGCTAGAATACAGAAGAAACCATGAAAATGGTCGATTCTGATTGGTTCTCGAGATCAAGAGTGGAATAGTCAATAGAATCGATGTTTTTCAGGAAACATATCATGTAATGAGTTGGGTATATGGTTTGTGAGTCTTTCATTCACGTATTTCAGACAGTCTCTATGATTATTTGTGTTTCACTCAGACTCTCGTCTAGCATACATCACAGATTGTTTAATTCCCTCCCTGTAGTATATATATTCGTGTGAGAATTTCGTGTGTCCTATACGTAGACAGGGTATGATCACTTGCTTCTTCCTTGTTTTGAGGTGGATTGATGTTGGTTTGACTGACTTTTTGACTTCCATTCATATTCCATTGGATTATTTTGAACACTTTCTCTGTATAAATTAGTTGGAAAAATATTCAACTGTTTCGGTTAGTATGTTTCCACAATTTTATTGTATTTTATATTTAAAAAATGATTGTGTGCGATTTTTTGCAAATAGCTATCATTTCTCATAAATCACCCAATTTTATCAATATTCCAATTTCGAAAACATCCAGTTCAAATTATTGAACGGTCGTCGATCGATTGAAATAAAATGAAAACTTTAGGCCTGGTCATTTGTGTTTCCTCTACCTGCTGAACTTGATTTTTTTCTGAACTTCTCTGATACATTATGCCATGAACTATGGGAACAAAGTCAACTTTTGCAAGTTCAGCGGCAAAAACGAACATACTTTTTCATTCACGTTAAATCAACTCAAAAGTTTCGATGACATACGAAGACCACAGGGGGAAAGGGAGAATGTCACAATAAAGTATGGAAATTGATTTGACACCGACATCTGATAGCCTAACCACTATATTTTAGTACAAACAGAAGTCCATGTAGCAATAACGCAACATATTCGTTCGAAAATACGTGCACATAGAAAAAACGCGGGATGTCCACTTCAAAAATGTGAAGAAAGAGGTACGTCTAAGCTTAGTGCTTTTTGAATACAGATTTCATTGTGATTTTAATAGGTTGTTTTCACACTGTCAAATGGTCCAAGTGAACTCTCAGGCAAACAAAATATAAGAAAAAATGAAAGATACGACCACCTTTTTTTCATCTCTTGGAGCGTACCAAAGGGAATTAATCCCTTTAATGTGAGGGAAACATTGTGGGTACCTATAGGGGAAGTAGGGAAAGGAGGTAGGTATTGGGATTTTTTCCAACTTGGATATTGCAAGTTCTTGGGAATACTCTGTTAGGCAAAAATTTCCAAAGCTTTGCCGGTCAATGTATAAACGAGTTTTGGTAAAGAGTTGTTCGACATATTTCGAGGTTGACGACAAAAAGGTGTGTTGACTGGGCTTGTCGAGTACGTCTGAGTGGTGGGAATAAAATAATGAGATTGGTATATGATGATTCCTACTCATATCGCGTAGAATTCATATAGAAAATGATCAAATTATAGAGATGCTAGCTGTACTACATGACAACTTACCGCTCATTGGGTTACCAGAGCAGCTAATTGAGAGTAAACAATTCAGTTTCTTGAAAATGTATTTGGACATTCCCCATTTTTCCCTTGAATCTTTGGACTTATTTAGCGTTTTCGATGATTTTTCCATTCAAATATAATTTTTGTTACTATTTCAAATAACCATAAGTATATGTTGAAAACTGACGATTTAAACAATTTTATAATAGTTATAAACAACTACCCTAACGGGCAAGCAAAGCAAGCGCGTTAATGTTCGAGATCATTAATCACCTAATTAATATACGAGTTGGTTTCAAAATTTTTCAATCGAATTTTTAAACGGAAACTGATAACAATCGCCCATTAGCCCTGAAAATGACGAGCGTCTCGGACCAGGACAGTAACATGAGTGTTGGCTTCATTCTGTTCTCACCTGATGGCAGTAAACGAGGAAGGATAGTATCATTTTTTTAATGTAGCCGATAATGATTCATTGTTTCAATGATATTTTTGTTTACCCTCTGCATTCCTACTCCGAGACGACGATTGGAAACGAACTTGTCACTCAACTCAACATGGAAAATATATTCCTTTTATTAGAAAAATGGAATTGGGATCGTTGTAGAAACGTTAAAAGGCCATACCGTTAACTTAAAATCAACGTTTAATATTGGTTAAAGATCAATTCACGGTAATGCATTGTTGGAAATGAATCGTGTGAATAACCTGTTGATTCCTCGGTTTCCTTCAACCAAATTTTAATATAATATAATAACGTTATTTCCACGATTCTAACCGTTATTCAACGTTTTATCAACGAGTTCGTGTTTACTGGGATAATCATCCAAATCGTGTGAACCACGCTGCTGATTGGAGAAAAATTAAATAAATAATAGTCTTATTTTTCAGAATTGGATTTGTCTCACAATTTGATACAGCATATTGAGAGAAGAGCATTCACGAATCTCCCCAAATTGAATATGTTGATCCTGTCTTACAACAATGTAGATAAATTAGATCCAGCTATTCTGTCAGAAATACCAGCTAATGCAACTATCAATTTCAGAAAGAATATAGATGTACTTGATAGATAAATTATGCATGGAAACATCGTATATATGCCAATGAATATTTTGTACCATCTTCTTCTTTATCATATACTCAACATTCAAATCAGTATGGTCATTCAATATATACTTATTTTTGTATCCAAGTTTTTTATTTTGAACTTTGGTGGAAGTAATTATTATATCAGAATAGATACTAGTGTGTTTTTTAACTATTGTATCTCTCGAAAGCGGATGATAATTTCATATGCTCATTTCATGTTAAAAAAAACCCTATTGGTGGCCAAGTCACAGAATTCTGGGAATGACCTCTGAGATTATACCTTATACTATCCTAATTCTGAATGGAGATGACTGGTTCCTCCGAAAGATGGAATCCTATGCAACCGTATTCCAGGCCAAAATTCACGCCATTGTTTCATCTGTGGGCAAATTGGAAATAATCATCCTCACACATTAAGCAATCAAGATATTTTTGCTACCAGGCATTTTCTTTGACCGGCCCCCTATGTTCAGTTCCGTGTTCTTGGGTATAAATAATCGTAATTTCATTATGATGATCATAGATCGAAAGTCGTTGATCCATGTGATGATACAAAGTGTGACCGGTTAAGTGGGGCAAAAGTTGAACATCCAGAGCAGCCTTCGAAAATTTTCAAAATCATTTAGTCCTTCAGTTATATCGAAATAAGTTGAGTTTTTTTTTCGTTATTAGAGTTATAAAAAATCTGATAATATTTTTGATTTATGTTTTTTTATCATCTCTACGGTCATGATTACGTGTTCACAGATTCTTAAAGCTTTCGAATACAACTGGTGGAAGTAAGTATTATATCAGTATCGATTAGATTAGATTTGGATTTAGAATGGGGCCTTCGGATTATCTGCCTCCACACCGCGACCTTTTCAGCTATATTGTGTCTGCCCTCAAGATCGATTAGAGTTCTTCGGCTACCCCTCTTTCTCTATGAGACTCCATAGACTAGCTTTCAGATCCCCTGTGTATCTTTGGGCTTCTGGTTTTTCCTCACCCAGCGTAAGGAACTTTAGTCTTGACAAGCCCTCACAGTGGCAAGATATGTGTACTGCTGTTTCCTCTTCTTTCTGACAGAACCTGCACAGCAGTTCTTCAGTCAGACCTATCGTACTCATGTGTTTGTTGAGCCTACAATGCCCTGTGAGAAGTCCCACTAGTATTCTAGTTGAACTTCGTTTCTGGCTCAGTATATATAGATATTCTGTGAATGTTGGCGATGGTTTTTTAATAAACTCTTCTGCCTGTCTCATACCTGGCGAGTTGTTCCACCATTATTGAGATTTGGTTTGCATCCATGATTTGATACTAGTCGCAATACCACAGAAGGGTTCTGGGCCATTCAGAGCTTTGTTTGCTTCTGCTCGGGCAAGTGAGTCTGCCTCTTCATTGCCCTCGTACCCTGTATGTGCTCGTACCCATGCTAAAGTCAGTATGTTCTGACTGCCCAGTTCATTCAGGGTTTCTATGCAGTCCCATACTAGTTTTGAGTTAACTTGCATATATTTGACTGCTTTGATGGCCGCCTGGCTATCTGAATAGCAATGGTTTTGACTTTAAACTTTCGCCTTATCAATTTTTTCACGCAATGATGTATTGCAATAACTTCTGCCTGAAACACCGTCGCGTATTTACCTAAGCTCAGTGAGATTCTTGTCTTTGGTTTGGCCCCATAAATACCAGCTGCTGCTCCTTCCTCTACTAGTATGTTTTCTAACTATTATACCTCTCGATAGCGGATGATAATTTTAGATGCTCATTCATGTTAAGCAAAAAACCTATTGGTGGACATGAAGTCACAGAATTCTGGAAATGACCTCTGAGATTATACCTTATACTATCCTAATTCTGAACCACGAACTGTGCGCATTTATAGTTTGTAGTTCGTGGCCAGATACTTGGGAGGTGCTCGAAAAACCCATCCTCCTTGAAACGGATCTGCAAGCGCATATAAGTTGGTGGCTGAGCGCTGCCATCAATGGTGCATTGGAATTTGTTGCGGCTATGGCACTTCTAAGTCAATAATATTCAATCGCTGGTAATGTGTATTAGGGCCGGCTAGCGGCCGCCTGGACACCTCGACGGCGGGAAAGTAATGTTGGGCCGATGATTCATTTATTCAAATTTATTTTATTTTGTTTTTATTTTTTTTATACAGGAATACAAATAGGACGAGCCAATAAACAGTATTTACAGGTAATCAAATAACATGATGATTATTATAATACTTATATTAGAAATTGAGTGGGGAATCTAATTCAAAATTAGGATGGTATACAAAATTTAAAAGAAATACAATAAATCTGCAAGGTGCTAACGAAGATTCAAAGGTTCGAGAAACAGTATGTTTTGAGTTTATTTACAAAGGTGGTAAATGAATCACAAAATATATCAATATCAATCAGATTTGATATTGAATTATAGCTTTTAAAGCAACGATGATAGGGGGAGTTCAATAGTGAGAAGTGAAATAATTGATGACTTCGAGTGGGGTATTGCGGTACGTTATATCAAATGGAACTATTAATTGGGATTGGGTCTATCATATTATTTACCAACTTAAACGAAAATTTCGTAGGCAATATCACTTCAATTTTCGAGACTAAGTAAATTCAACTTTCTGCTTATAAAAGTTTTATCGACATGCGGCGTGTTACGGAAGTATTAATTCTCAATAAAGTGTATGAATTTGTTTTGAATATTCTCTACTTGTTTTATGTAAATAATGTTCTGGGAATTCCAGATTGTAGAGGCATAACTTAAGGTGCTATTGACATGAAGAGGATACGAGCAGTTCAAGGATCTTTAAAATTATAACACGATCTGATAATGAAGCCTAGCATCCTATTTGCCTTTTTAGAAATACATATAAGCGATATGTTGTGGAACAACATTTTCGTATCGAAAATTATTCCCAAATCTTTCACCTCAGTGAGAATATCGAGTAATTGAAATTCAAATATAATAGTACATTATGTAACAAGTGTTATAAACGTCCTTTTAGTAACGAGTATTTTAAGCACGAGCGGAGCAGAGCGGAGCGAGTGTTTAATAAACGAGTGTCTAGAAGAGTTTATAAACGCGTTACATAGCTACTATGCTTTTTCTACGAATTCCGAAAATTACATTAACATACCTGCTATTCCTGCTAACCTACAGAATAATTCGAAAGGAATGTGAATTGAGAACATAATACATGCAACTGCATGCAACCAGCGAGACACGTATAAGTGATATTGTTTGTAGATGTGTCCAGTCCATTGTTTCACGTTTATTGTCATGCTTAGCGCAGAATAAATAAATTGCTCTCAGAGATGGATGCTTCATTTTCTCGCTTCTTGGAGATATGCAAGTACCAAAAAATTATCTTCGATTTCACTTTCGTCTACATTTCGCATATATTTTCGCATGGAATAAGGAATTCTGATGCAAACAAATATTGTTTGAATAATTCTGATACAAACTTCGAAAATGACAGTTGATAGTTCCTACAATTGACAGGCCAGACATGTCTCAAATTACTGAATCTGTGTTCAATGAACTGTGTTGCCATGGTAACGTGTTAAAGAAATCGTGTTACCATGGTAACGTGTTTAATATTTTGAATAAATCATAGATCGTCAATCCGTGATTAATCGATCATTTAGCGTGGTACATATCCGTACGCTAAATGCCATTTTAGTTATGTGAGTAGAAAAAGCATTTTCTGTGCAATATGAATGAAGTCTGTCTAAATCTTGTTGGATCAAGAAAGCGTCCACTGGTTTCTTCACACTGTGGAAGATCTTCAAATCATCAGCATACATTATAAATCTAGAAATCTTGAAACATTTAGAAATACAATTCATGTATAAATTAAAGAGGAGGGGCCCATTGATGTTATCTGGGTAATAACGTGTTATCTTGGTAATAACGTCTCTCTCTTCGATATACTCGACTGAAAAACTATAAATGCTATGAATAAATTCAGAGCTGTTGCAAACGACATTCGTACTGAATCAGTGCTTTGCGAAATTCTTTACCGCGGTCCTCAGCTCTGGTTTGACACCGGCCCACCGGGCATTTGCCTGGTTGTCCGCCGGTCCTGTACGGTTCTGGTACCGATCAACGTCTTAAATGACATTGAACTGCCATAACATACTCACTCATAAGTAATATCACGATGTTCTGAGTATCAGAGATAATTCTGTTACTTCATTGTTCACGAAATTGTGTTGCCGAGTAATAATGAAATACAGAGAAGACTTTCATAACCGAGTGATATTTTACTAGACTAGATTTTCAGAACGGAGTGATATTTTGCTAGACTATTTCACGTTCACGAAGCATAAAAAGCATTTATTATAAATGCATGGGTAATTCAATCTTTAACATAAACTGTAATCCTTACATTCATCGCAGAAGAAATATTTTTGCTATAAAAACGTATAGATCTAATTATATGCAAAACGCACCTTTGTGTAGATGTGCCCTCTCCTATAACAATATTTCCATGTCCAACGATTACGAAGTTGATATCTATCGATTATGCTTCAGATCATTTAAACTTATGTTAAATAGCAGAATAACCGGAAACTGAATCTCATATAGATTCCACTTTGATTTGTATTTATGTATATATCACCAGTAATTTTGTATGTTGAAATATTTTAGTTTTAAGTAATATGACCTTACCAAAGAATGGTATTTCTAATTTGGATAATAATGATAATTCATACACTTGTACATCAAAAATAAATTTTCCAGGGTTGGTTAGATATTTAGTTTAAGATGGATTAGTTTACTGTGAGTTTACTCGAAAAATGTATTATTATTTAATGTACTTTAGTGTTGCCTTATAATAGGATTGTAAAATCTGTTAGGCAACCTGTTTCTGTAAAATGAAAAAATAAAATAAATAAAATCTGATGACGAGTAAGGCCATAATTACTTTTGGTCAAACTTCTGGTCTAGAATCTACCAGGGTTGCCTCATTCTAAGGTATTCTGACATCCTTCAAAGATTGTCACCTACTTACAGGTCACTGTTGTCTTAATACCATTGTCTGGATTATCATACACATGTCAAGAGTTGATCACCAAGTAACTAATTGCCTTCATCTACCATCTACTTGATGGAATATGAATATGGTGTGAGCCACAATAGACACGCTGTGGATGTCCGAATGGAACTTTGAAGCCAACCTAACCTAGAAAAAATCCCAATCAAGCTGAAATTGTATAATCTCATCCATTCGCCGCATCTTGATTATAACTTTGAAAAGATGAATCCTCAATGTTACTGAATTTGTTACCAAACATCAATCGAAACATTGAAGAAACATTCACTTTCGATTAAACTCAATAACATTCACATCAGGTAGGTACTGTTAATTTTATTTTATCACTCCAGAAATACAGCTGGAAACAATATTCAATAGGCATTCACATATCTTTCATCCAGATACAAGCGCAATTTTAATTCATGAAAATACTATTTATTTTTTATCTTATTTGTTCCAAGCTTGGTAATTATTTAAATTGTATGTAAAATGTTGGAACATATTCTTATCGAAATATCGTTTGGACAATAATCAAAATGAAAAGTTAGTGATGAAAACAAGTCTGACGTCAATAGTGCCCTTATCTCTTGAATTTCATTGACACTGTGGCGCTTTCATCTCAATGTCAGCTATCACTTATTGTATAAACATTCGATTTCATTATAACCTTTGCTCCTTTCTAACTGCATCGTTATTCTGATGAACGATTGATATATCAGAAGGAATGAAATCATTTCTATAAATCATTTCCCACATCATAAAAGCATGCTTGACGTTCTATATAACCTCTTGGCATCCGCTGATACAGACATTCTTTAAACTTATTTGAAACCTCAGAGGCTATCAACAGTCGTGATACAAACAAGAATTCAAGAAAACAGTAGTCATGAAAACAATAACTAGAATGTTTGTTATTAGGTAGAGCCTAAACATAACGATGTCAACTGCAAAGGTGGTAATAGTGTTGTGTCTATTCCTTAGTTGTACTGCAGGTACCAAGAGACTGTCTTTTGAAAATGTCAAGGTAACTATAATATCGACAAAACTGCACTACAAGTTCCCTGATTTCGATATCAGGATTGCAAATTCCAATAGTTTGATGGATAATCTCAAAGACCGCGATCCGAGAACCTATGACACAATCAAAATTGCTAACCAATCCATACCTGTGATCTACGAGGGAGCCTTATCAAATCTTTACGTATGCCGTTTGAGTTTGGTATATTGCGACATCCAAAAAATAGAACGAGGAGCTTTTAAAAATGTTCAAAAACTGGATTTTCTCACTATAAGCGAAACTACTCTCAAAGAAATACGGAAAGGCGTGTTCAATAATTTACCAGTTACCACCCTCTATTTGGACAACAACCAGATAGCCGATATTGAGAGTGGTGCGTTTGATGGAATGAATAAACTGAAGAAGATTTACCTGAGCATCAATGAGTTGGAGACGATCAAGAGAGGTCTGTTCAGGAATTTACCAGAGCTAAAGTTGATAAGGATGGACGAGAACAGGATTAGCAATATTGAGCTAGGATCGTTTGAAAATCTACCAAAGTTGAGAAAACTTATTATTGATAACAACCATATTAAACAGATTGAGGATGGTGTATTCGGTGAGTATGAATTGAGATATGAGAGCCAATACATGATATTTCTTTCCTATATGTCATAGAAGCGCAATATCATTATGTTTCACTTGGATGAAATGTTCTTCAAATAACTCATGTGAAATATTTCCTGAGAACAGTGACGTTACTATATAGGGGGTATTTTTTTGTTCAAGTACGAATGTTCAGATTCCAAGTTCGGTTGTTGGGCGGGTGAATATAGATCTAAAGATATCTCTTCAATTCTGTTATATTGTAGAGTATTACCTCAACGTGAATGAAAAATGAAACTCAATGAAATTTCGAATAACTTAAATTAACATATTCAACTTATACCTAATTAGACTGTCATATTCTCATATTTTATCATATAATGAGAATACATCATTGAGCCGCGATTTCAATTGTTGTGTCGCTTGAGTTTGATGGGAATCAAGAAAGTGCATCAGTGATCAGTAATCACCATATTTTCATAAACATCTCAATATACGGACCAAAAACAAAATGATCTCTCTAGTAAATAACGAAAGTTTGTTTGTTTAGTCTTCGTTATTCGCATGTTTGCATACAGTGTTGATTACATAATCAAATAAAATATAAGATTGTATTTATATACCTCAATCCGTATAATAACACGGTATATATTTACACTAATATACAGGGTGAGTCAAAAATGTGTATCAAGCTTTCTGGGGGTGATAGAACATTGAAAAATAAGTGTAGTTTGATGATTAAACTCATGGCCCAAAATGCATATTAAGGGAGATATATCCTTCCAAAGTTGATGAAATTATATTTATATATACATTTTTTCGTCACACTTCCACATTTCTGATATTGTTATAAAGGGTGTTTTCAGAGGGTGAGTCATGATTGTTTGTAGAAAACTTTTTTCCCTGTTTTATTTTCAATGAAAAAACAGGAGCATTTGATGGAGCGAAGAAAATTACATGAAAAAGGTACTCCTATTCAAATACAAAAAATTGAGCCGTTTATGAGATATTTGAGTTTTTGTAGTTACATGATATCAGCAGATTGATTTTATTCATCGCGAGATTCATCGGTATAACGATATTTCAGCAGGCCATGAACAATTTTGTTTTTATTTTGTCGATAATATCACCTCCCTGTGGCACGTTACTGAGCAATAAGTACATAGCATAAGTCTGTCCCAACAAGGTTTGAATAAAAATGAAAGTTTGATAATGTTTTTGGTACTTTTAATCAATACATAATTTTGAATGGAAGAAAAAGAAAAAAAAAAACAAATTGAAGTTGCTGTTCGAAATGTCCACCGTTTTCGGTTATACATAATCTGAGGCGTTTACGTAAATTATTCATCAAACCGTTCATAGTTTGGTGATCATTTTTCAACAACGTAAATTCGTTCACAATTTTTTGCCTCAGCTCCTCAACATTCCGAATTTCGCTTGAATAAACCCTAGATTTCATGTAACCCCAGATCGAAAAATCTAGTGGATTGAGGTCAGGCGAACGAGCGGGCCAGGAAATAGGAGCGTCTGTGCCTCGTCCTATCCACCTATCAGGAAAATTATCATCAAGCCATTCACGTACAACTCTTACATAATGAGCTGATGCTCCATCATGCATAAAGCAGATTTCCCTACGTATGTTGAGAGGAATGTCTTCTAATATCGTACCTAACTCATTTTCTAAGAAGTTGAGGTACATTGCACCATTCAGAGACCCTGGGAACATGTAGTATCCAACGAATTTGTCTCCTAAAGTCGCAGCCCAGACGTTCACTTTGAAATTATATTGAAAATGCGTTACTTTAATAACGTGTGGATATTCGTCAGCCCAGAAATGAGTGTTGCGCGAATTGAAAACACCGTTTCTAGTGAAAGTTGCTTCGTCTGTGAACAATATTTTGTTTAAAAACTCAGGACATCTTCGAGTTCGTTCCAGCAACTCTTCGCAAAATCTCAATCTTATTTCATTGTCTCGTGGTAACAGTTCTTGTACCTGCAAATAATGATAAGGGTGTAGCTGTTGCTCTCTGAGAATCCTGGTTACATTCGCTTGTGTTGTGTCTATTCGTCTTGCTAATTTCCTTGTACTTATTTCTGGATCCTGTTCCACAGTATTTGATACTTCTCCTTCAACTTCTACAGTTCTCGCACTTCTGGGTCGGCCACCATTTCTATTATTGGTTTTCAAACATCCTGTTTCACGCAGTCTTTGTACAATCCTCAAAATTGTTCTCGAAATTGGGTCGCGTCGAGCGGGAAACATCTCTGCATATCGTCTCACAGCAGCATTTGCATTTCCGAAGCACTCGCCAAGCATTAGAAGCAAATCAGTTTGTTCAGAGAACGAATAACCTGCCATATTTCTTAAAATCTCAGTTGATAATCGCAGTGATAAATGACACAGAAAAACCACACGAACAAATCAACTACAACAATGTTGACTCGAATGTTGATGACATGAACGTCAAAATTGAGAACAAAATTGTTCATGGCCTGCTGAAATATCGTTATACCGATGAATCTCGCGATGAATAAAATCAATCTGCTGATATCATGTAACTACAAAAACTCAAATATCTCACGAATGGCTCAATTTTTTGTATTTGAGTAAGAGTACCTTTTTCATGTAATTTTCTTCGCTCCATCAAATGCTCCTGTTTTTTCACGGAAAATAATACAGGGAAAAAAGTTTTCTACAAAAAAGCATGACTCACCCTCTGAAAACACCCTTCATAACAATATCAGAAATATGGAAGTGTGACGAAAAAATGTATTTTGACAACATACATTCATGCACAAAATTTCAATCGGGTGGCTTTCATCGTTCAGAAGTTATGCGGAGAAATTATTTTAATTTTATCAACTTTGGAAGGATATATCTCCCTTAATATGCATTTTGGGCCATGAGTTTAATCATCAAGCTACACTTATTTTTCAATGTTCTATCACCCGCAGAAAGCTCGGTACACATTTTTGACTCACCCTGTATAATGAAGAGGAAATATTTGTTGGTCTGTTTGTTTGTTTGTATTGAATACACTCCAAAACTACTGGACCAATTCCAAAAATTATTTTCTCTGTGACGGGAGAAAATTCGAAATTTCATCTCTGTTGACAGGTTATAAAATGTCACTCATCATAAATTACAATTTTCCTACAAGAAACGTAGGTAAATTACTAAACAACCACTGAATTCTCAATTTTTCAAAATCAAATCACAGGATGAGACTGAACGATATTTGATTACTTCAAAAGAATGATAAAGATGTCAGCAAAAAGATGCCTGCAACGCAGGTATCATCGCTGTTAAATACTTCAAATTTCACGTTGATAATTTTCTGATTTTGATTCAATGTAATTTGTATTCAATGTATTTTCAATATTTTTCCTGTCACAGAAAAAAATAGTGTCAAAAAACCGTGTGCTAATATCTACCCTTTTATTTTCCTTGTATAATAAATAGCTCTATCTACCATATAAGCCGACCTTATCCCTGATAAACATAGTCAACTTTTTACCGCGGGAAAATGCTTCATTCCTACGGGAAAATGGGTAAAAGAACAACGGCTAGTTAGAATCATCCTTCCGTACTTATCTTTTTCACATAACTTCTAAACGGACGAACCGATTGGGTTAAGATGTTATACAGGGTGTTTCATAATTGAATGCTGATCCTAAAGATCGATAATCCTTTGATGATTTTAAGAAAAATTCTTCATGTGAACATAGGTCCGTAACAGCTTCGTTTCTGAGATACAGGATGTTGAAATTTAACAAAAGAATCAGTTATTCCCCAATATCTCTGAAACAGCTCTGGCTTTTTTCTTCTATTCCGGTACATACCAAGTATGAATAGAAATACATTTTTTCCATAATAAAGGATTTCTTAATTTCCATCAGTGGCGTCCCTGTTAACATACCCTGTCATATTTTTCATCAAAATAATGATACGCCACTGCCTTTTTTCCAAATAAATATCATTTTTGTAATTATCCTCTATCTTCTCATAAAAATGATCTCTTGTCTTTTTTTCGTCCGGCGAACGGTATTTGAGTTAAAAAATAAAATGCATTCATTTGCTTGTCCCTATTCGATTTTTACTCTTAGTCATAATTTCACAATTGTGGTAACCAAAAGATCTAAGCAATATTTTTATAATTTTATGGTAACTATTTTCAAGTATTTGTAATGAAGAAAAAAGCCAGAGCGGTTTCAGAGATATTGGAGAATAACTGATTTTTTGTTAAATTTCAACCTCCTGTATCTCAGAAACGAAGCTGTTACGGACCTATGTTCACATGAAGAATTTTTCTTAAAATCATCCAAGGATTATCGCCCTTTAGGATCAGCATTCAATTATGAAACACCCTGTATATTATGGGTATTTCGATGGTTTCCTGGTTGATTTAAAAATACAATTGGACTGACTGGGTAACAAAAAATGCTGAGAAAATTAAAATAGGTATAAGTAAGTAAGTAGATAATATTAGCTATATGTATGTTTCGTTTCATTTCTAGTCATTCCATCAGGCATCCATATATGATTCGGTTTATAATCTAAGGTAGAAGTCCCTGTTTATCGCAAAGTGGAGTAATGGGATCAAAGTTAATTATCAACAATGTTTATTAGTTTATACTTTTCGACTAATCGGTAAAACAGGATCAAGTATATCATTCCATATGAAGTCAATTTCATTCTTATTTTTTTCCTGAAGTGAAATCTCAGCCTATTGAGGAAATGAAAAAATACGTAAACAATAATTTTTCATAAACGTCACGGAGAAATATGAATCTCAATATTGGAAACTTCTAGTTTGCTGATTAAGAAAATGTTATTTCTTTGATAATAGTTATTTGTTTAACTAGGCAGCAAAGTAGTAGATTGACTGCCGAGGCTGAATTCATAGCCGAGCGTAGCGAGGCTAGGAATCCAGCTAAGGCAGTCAATCTACTTTGCTGCCGAGTTGAACATATAATTTTTTCTCCGATTGTTCATAATGATATAGGAGGATATTGCAAATTATTACAATTCCCACAATCTCTGTATTTTTCCTGTAGTGTTCAATTAAAATGAAATTTGATAGAAATCGCAGTTGTCCATGATATTTATAGTTTGACAATTCATTGAAATTCTGACAGTTGTGCGAAAAAATATCGGTATATTTAAATTATTATATAATGGACAGTGATAGCGACCTGGAAGTACTTACACCTCCAAAAATAAGGGAGGTGGCAAAAAATATAGAGTTGAATTTGTTGCCGGAGAAGTCTCGAATGGAATATGAAGGAAATTGTAAACGATTTATGGATTATTAATTTTGCTGATACATATCAATCAGCAAAGTAACCACTTTGCTGCCTAGGCAGGAAAAGTAATACTTTGCTGATTGATATGTGTCAGCAAAATTGATATTTGCTGCCAATCGGAGAAAAACAAGTTTTCCACTTAGTTCACATGATCCTGTTCACTTCTGATTCTGTTGTTTTTGGCAGTTTATCTATGGGTATATCATACATTCATTATCAGTATAATGAATATAATGAGAAATTACATTTTGAAAATACAAATGATTATCTTCATTACAGAAAATCTCACTTCACTCAATACTCTTTTTCTACAAAACAATGAGATTTCCGATATTGGACCGGGATCATTCAAGACTCTGGAAAATTTGGAAGTACTATGGTTGCAGGGAAATAACCTCAAGGAAATGAAAGCTGGAATTTTCAACACGCTCAACAATTTGAGAGAACTGAATATTAACGATAATCAAATTTGTTCAATAGAAAAAGGCTTTCTAGATGGTTTAGACAAGTTGGAAGAAGTTGATTTGAGTCATAACAGGATGACGAACATACCAAGGGGTATATTCAGTAATACCACTATTTCTGGTGAGTACCAAATCAGAATTCAAATGTGATTATTATAATATTAGGTTACTTCAGCTCATGCACAACGTTTGATTCTGAATCAGGACAGCCCTGCCTGATATTTTTCTAGCCATGATCACGTGACATGTGTAAGAATCGATTTTCATTTTATTGGGCATGTATGATATAGATCCTCATGAAAAAAATTAGATACTCTAATAATACCCTATTTCCTAATATGCCTACGTACTTTATTGATGACACTGTATATCTTCAACTTCACTTTTCTTAGAAAAGCAAGTTGAAGTTGAAAATAATGAGCTATTATAGTTTTTGTAGATATCGTTCTAAAATTGTTCTAAAATTGTTCTATCCGTCATTCGGTATCGTAATACCGCATTATGCACACAGCGGAGAACACAACCCAATTAACCAAGACTTTTGCAGACGAAATCTAGATGATAACAATTTCACTGACTGACTTGTACAATTTGTTGTAGTTTTGAATTTTTGATGTGAATATGAAAAATTGGGTTTTGATATGAATTAAATTGCTCAAAGAAACAAGTGGACCACTGAAATTTTCGACAATTTTCAAACTGTCATAACATTTTGAAAAATGAATGGATTTTCAATCGGGATGCAGTGTTTGGAAGATGCGATCTTTCTGTGCAAGATTCCTTGCGAGATTCCTTGTTCAAAACTCGTCGGGAGTTTTTCTGTCATTATACACAGTGTTCGAAAATAGTATTGCAAAAATGAGAGAATTCAAACGCTCCCGTATTCCAGGGATTTTTTTTTATTTTCCTATTAATCATTTTCTTTTCGAAGGTTCAAGCCAATATCTCGAAACGGTTTTATAATTTTCCATACTTCTCAATCAGGATGTTCAAAATCGATAATTTCATTTTCAGGTTTTTATCGCATAATTTCCGATTTTAAAAATATGCAAGCCATATTCAACGTATTTTGCCACTCTATACGATGGAACACATCCTAGAAAATGAATTCATATCGCGTTGAAATCATCGACAACTTTAACAGAAGAAGAATACATTTTTTTTTAGAAATTTCCAGAATTTGGTGAAATCGTCTGTTCAGTTTGGTGCTGCCATAACCATATGCTATGCTAAACACAAATCCTTCATTTGGATCGATTGCTCTGTCAAATTGATTCCGTGATTTTTCAGATAAGGCATTCCAAGGAGGCACAAGTAGGACCTCCTGAAAAATTCGACAACTGTCATCATCGGTTCGACAGGAGGCATTATATTGAGTGTTGCAGTGGTATTAATTGCGTAAATGAGTGTTGATTACAACAAGAAAGACTTTTTCGATTGATTTTCGAATACGCGATGAGAAACCTTGTGATAAATAGGTTTCTTGACTTCATGTCAGCTCAGGAATATCTTAAAACCATTGTAGCATCGTTATTGTATGAATCCATTTTCTAGGTTGTGTATCATCGTATATAGAGTGGCAATATACGTTGAATGTGGCTTGCATAATTTTAAAATCGGAAATGATGCGATAAAAACCTAAAATTGAAAAAACATCGATTTTCAACATCCTGTATGAGGAATATGGGAAATTACAAAACTGTTTAGAGATATTGGCTTGAACGTTCGAAAAAAACGCTTGATCGAAAAATAAAAAAAAGTCCTGGATACGGAAGCGTTTTTTCATTTTTGCAATACTTTTTTCGAACACTTGATGTTTAATGACAGAAAAACTTCCGACGAGTTTCAAACAAGGAATCTTGAACAGAAAGATCGCACCTTCTAAGCACTGCATTCCGATTGAAAATCCATTCATTTCCTTGAATGATATGGCAGTTTGAGAATTGTCAAATATGTCAGTGGTCCACTTGTTTCTTTGAACACTTTGTATGAATGAATTATGATTATGATGATCACTATTTCCAGATTTGAAACTGGGTAATAACGACATAATGACAATTGAACCAGGAGCATTCGAGTCGGCTCACATGTTTGACCTTGACCTTCGAGGCAATGACTTGAGAGAAATAGTCAAAGGCATTTTCAGTAACCTCCTGGTGAGCCGTTTGGACTTGAGCGGCAACAAGATAGAACGAATCGAAGAAGGCGCTTTCGAAAACTCGAATTTTCAATACCTGCATTTGGATGGAAACAGGATCAAGCATATCGAGAACAGTATTTTTAGGAACGTCAAAGTTTTTTACCTCTTCATCTTAGATAATCAGATAAATGATGAGGAGCTAGATAACTTGAAGAATTTTTTCAAGTGCAAGACTAATACGCCTCATTTTGTATAGTATAAAGATTAAATAAGGATTAGACTAAGTGAGTATACTGGGTGATTCGTCACAAGTGCATCAAAAACCTGAAATTTTGATTGCGGTTTCAGCAAAGTGCCATCAACTTTATCATTGGAAATAAAGCACCCTTCATATTACTGCGTTTTACCCTAATAACACAATAATTATATTCCATGGATATCCTTAGGACGTCCTGTCGGGACATTCAGGACGTCCATAGGACGTTCGAATTTGGTACCGTGGACGTCCAATGGACGTCTGTGGGACGCACAAATGTCCCACTTGAGGAACAACTAGGGACGTCCTTGAGGGATGTCCCTGGGACCACTATCGAATACCTAAATCCTACAGTATTCCTCATCAAGCACTACAGAGGACATCCTTAGGTTATCCATAGGATAACCTATCAGCAACGCTGAGGGATATCAATTTGATGTCCATAGGATGTCCCAGGGACGTACGAATTATTCTTGAATTTGAATTTTTCTGGGTCCCTCGAGGACCAGATCTTGCATAACTGATTAGGACATCCAGTTGAGTTGACGTGAGATACGGGGGTGCTTCCATGGAAAGTGCGACAAAATTTAATCTTTCAGAACTGAAAATTTTCAAGGAAAAATATGAAGAGTTAGTGAATTGGGCGTCCTGATTCCGAATCCGAAGTGATTTTCAACCTATTTTGACTCCTAATATCATTTTCCGGAAATTGGGGTGGTTCCATGGCTGTTGGCGAGCAGTGTATATCACTGAAGATGACCCCACTTGGTCATAGAGTGCATTTTTGGGTATATCTCTCGCTACAGCAAATTTCATGATCCTTACCCAACGATTACGTGAGATATCCCAGACAGCACTGGATATTCATAGAATATTCTCTAAATATGCTAAAAAGGAGGAGTATATTCCGAATATTCATCGATTATTCCTAGAATATATACATGCCTCTGGAACATCTAAAAGGAATATTCCAAAGTGAATATAGTCGGACATGTTCAGGGAATATTCAGGTATGAATCTTCCAGGAATATTCCCAACTGAATATTCTCTGTTGTATATTCATAAAATATACCCAACTGAATATTCTGTGCGGTATATTCATGAAATATACCCAACTGAATATTCTGTGCGGTATATTCATGAAATATTCTCAACTGAATATTCTGTGGTGTATATTCATGGAATATTCCATGAATATTCCTATGTTTCTCAACACATAAATACCATTTATTATTTCAGAGATGTGAGTATCGGACATCAATTAGATGTAAGGGGATTTTGAAACAATAAGTGTTTATGATCCGATTTCGAAGAATGCTCTCACAAGAACTTGATTTGTATAACATTATTCAATTCGATTACTGGCCTATTGGTCAAGGCGTTGCTCTGATAGTCTCGAGGTCACGAGTTCGATCCCTACTTGGGTCACTTTTTTTTATTTTAGAATATGTTTATTGGAATATTCCAGGAACATTCAACATAGAATATTCTTTTGGGTATATTCTATGATTATCTGAGGAATTCCCATTCGCATATTCAGGGAATATTCCACAGATATTCCGGAATATTCCAGATTATTTCTAGAATATTCCAATATTCCAAAAGGAATATGATAGGAAGATTCATGAAATATCTGGTGCTGTCTGGGTACAGGGGTGGCTTGCTTTCAAATGGGTCACTCTGTATAATGTAACTCGCAGAACTTTGAAGTTTTCATTTTTTATTTTTATTTTAGGTGTCCCTTTCAGGGCTCCGTATATTTTCCTTCTATATATATCGATCTCTGAAATATTTTCCATGCGCATGTATGTTATATTATTACAACGTTTTTGGTACGTGAGAATTTCCGTCACATTTGCATGTTCTAAGAATATCCTCAGAACTTTGAGTGCACCTTGTGAGAACATTCTGAGAATATTCGAAATCTTCCACGAGAATATTATATAAGAACGTACTCAGAATCACTTCGTGATGCTTTCTGGGATCGTGGATTTCAATAATTATTCAAGAAAAGTATGAAGCTGCTCCACAAAAACTAGGATTCTTGTTCCGTGCGAAATTCTACTTCACACCTCAATAGCTTCTCATGATCTACGCACAGATTCGGCCTGTTTTAGAATACTGTTCTCATATATGGGGTTCAGCAATCAAACACACGCTGATGCTCTTAGATTCCATCCAGAGAAGAGTCATCCGCCTGGTGGGTGATCCCACACTCACTAATACACTGACTTCATTAGAACATCGTAGAGAAGTCGACAACCTTTCACTTCTCCACAGATACTTCCACGGGAAATGTTACTCAGAAATAATATCTGCTGTCATTTCATCACTAGCAATACCACTCAGACAAACACGACGGGCCCAGTAAACACATCATTTCATTGTCAAACTTGCAATATGTCGAACAAAATTTTATCAAAACTCGTTCGTTTATATAGAACGGCAAAGCTTTGGTTGCCAATGTAAGTATTTCCAAGGACTTATAACCTCCAAAAGTTCACAAAATAATCCAACACCTACTTCCTCTGCCTATCCTGCCTAGGTACGCACGATGTTCTTCGAACATAATAGGAATTTCCTTTCGTGTGCTCCAAGAGAAAAAACATTCCTCATTAGCACATTCGTTCAAAAACTAATGGAAATGTATGAGAATGACCATCATCTCTCCACCCCCACATGTACAGTGTGTCCACTTTTCGATGCTTTTGTGTTATATCTTAGTTATCTTTCGGGATAGAACCTTGCGGGTTCCGCGGTCGTGTGCCACTTTTTTGTGAAACTCAAGATGGCTTAATCAGATTTTGCATAACTGTTTCTGTTTATGAGATACAGGGCGATTTTGAAAATTTATACTTTTTGGACCCCCTCTTTATCTACGAAGTTTCTCAGCAAAAATGTCAAATTTAAATCTCATCCCATATGAAAGTTAACGCAAAATCCAGTGACGCACTCAAAATTTTTTTTCGGGGTATGGTTTTGGAGATACGACTCAAACTTATGATGTTTTAAATGGAACACCCTGTATTTTATGATCTCATAAAATTCCTCATTTTTTTCTCTTCAAAATGATTTATAATGTATGTATATGAAATTTTCAAAAATGCTCTGAAATCACTGAAACATTGAATTTTAATAGTGGGCTATGGATTTTTCTTATAAAAAAGTTCCAATTGAAGGAATATTCATTTTGATTTTTCCATAAAGAGGACAAAAACAATACCAACACTAATTAACTAAGAAAACACAAAAATTATGTACCTGATAGCAACAAATAAATAGTAATAAAAAGTACATAATGTAGAAAAAGCACCAGATTAAATATTTACAGATACAATAGAATTTCGGAATTATTCAATAACTTATTAACTGAATTGTTCAAATTGATGTCCATTTCCCATAACACACAATTGACACAGTTTCTCAATACGTCTTGATACAGTAAGAGTCACAAATATCTTGAAGAACATCGTGCAACAACAGAGGCAGTTTTCCAGGAATTACAAAGACATCCTTTAATGATGTTGAATGCATTAAGACGTATTGAGTAAGCGTGTGAGGAAAAGTGGACATCAATTTGAACAATTCAGTGAATAAGTTACTGATTAATTTCGAAATTCAATTGTCTTAGTGAACATTAAATCAGGTGCTTATTCTAGAATATGAACTTTTTATTACCATTTATTTGTTGCTATCAGGTACCTAATTTTTGTGTTATCTTAATTGGCTAGTGTTGGGATTGTTTTTGTCCTTTTCATGGAAGAATCAAATGAAATATTTCTCTAATTGGAACTTTTTTTAAATGAAAAATCCATAGCCCACTATTAAAATTCAATGTTTTAGTGATTTCGGAACATTTTTGAAAATTTTATACCTATCCATCATATTTCATTTTGATGGGGAAAAAATAAGGAATTTAATGAGTTTATAAAAAACAGGGTGTTCCATTTGAAAAATCATACATTTGAGTCGTGTCTCCGAAAACATACCCAGAAAAAAAATTGAGTGCGCCACTGAATTCTGCGCAAAATTTTGTATGGGATAAGATTCCAATTTGACATTTTCGCTGAGAAACTTCGTAGATATAGAGGGGGTTCAAAAAGTATAAATTTGCAAAATCGACCTGTATCTCATAAACGCAAACAGTTATGCAAAATCTGATTAGGTCATCTTGAGTTTCACAGAAAAGCGGTACAGGACCGCGAAAACCGCAAGGTTGTATCTCGAATGATAACTGAGATATCACGCAAAAGCATCGAAAACTGGACACACTGCACAGTAAACCCTGATGTAACTCAGACATGAGACACACATTCGATCCAGGTTATTGAGGTTTAATCTCCAAATTCTTCCGTTCCTCTGAACAAAACATAAAATCCAGTTTTTTTCCTGCAAAAGAGATCCTGCGACGTCAACTTATAGCAACAACCAGAGGCGAGCTACTACGAATGAAGGTTGAAAAAAAAAAGAAATCCTTCTGTTCCTTTAGACACGTTCGGATGTATTATGTATGGAAATATAAAAGTTTGGATCATTGTGTGTTCGTTTGTTATTCCGGTGGATATCCAAGATTAGGGAACGATGTTCCTTGCTCAACCATCTATAAGGCATTGTTTTGTTCTTTTATTTTCAAATACGTCCGTTTCCATTTCTTGAGTGCGGCGGAAGAATATCGGAAAAACCATAGCATTATCACATTACTATACGTCTAATTAATCGAAGTGGTTCCAAAGCTATTGTAGAAATTGATGAGCAGGATGAACAAGGTGTATTCGAGACTAACTAAATTAGATTATTAGATTTTCCTTTGCCCGACCATAACGTTTGTTCAGAAAACTTCCTAATTAATTCTAGAAGTTCTCCTCCATTCCATTACCGAGGTTGGGCAGTATATCAAGGACTACAGTCGTCATTGCTGCTCTATAAATCAGGAAAGATAGCTCTGTTTACTAGAAAGAGCGTTACAATTGACATCGTTATCTGAAAGAGTTGATATAGGA